AAGGAATAAATCGAAAATGGCGTAACTTAATAGCCCTAAAATGATGCTGAAATTGACAAAAATAAATGTGCAAAGGTATGAATATACTACAAAACTATACATTATATATACACTCAGTGTATAAATCGAGTGTTTCTGTATAACATAACATAACATCACGCCTTTTATTACGAGGTGACGTATACATGCTTTGAACAGGGTGCTAAAAAGTGTTCATGATTGATCATTGATATCATCATTGATATCAGACAGATTGATATTGATCATGCTCAAAAATGTTCAAAAATCGAACGCATGTTGATTCGAAAACATGACTGATAACACGGTATTTTACAACTAATCAAATTCAATACATTTATCGAAACGTCAAAAACGATATTATTCTATGAATTTTGTACCAAAAACTAACTTCTACCATTATATTTTTGAGTCAAAAAGCACACTTATTTCCGAAAAAAACGCTAGAATAAATCGAAAGTTAAGTATATCATCAAATATATGAATAAAATTGTAGGTAATTATTTTTGAATATTATATGGGAATGAAGAATCAAATTAATTTATTTTTGACACTGGAAAATAGCCAATTATAAACATGTTAATATTTAGCGATATTCCGTCACACATGCTACTAAGTGACAAGTCCTCAAAGAAGCATATTTTCGTGATTGTAATTAACATGTGCAATAGAACCTTTACTTTTTTATATAAAGAACTAGCGACCCGCCCCGGCTTCGCACGGGTGTAACATGCATGTATTATACAAAAACCTTCCCTAAGAATCACTCTAACTATTAAAAAACCGTAACAAAATCCGTTGCGTAGTGTTAAAGATCTAAACATACATAGGGACAGACAGACGGCGGATAGCGACTTTGTTTTATACTATGTATGATACGTTTACTTTTTTCATATAAAGAACTAGCGAGCCGCCCCGGCTTCCCCCGGGTGTAAATCACTCTATCTATTAAAAAACAACTGCATCAAAATCCGTTGCGTAGTTTTAAAGATCTAAGCATACATAAGGACAGTCAGACGGCGGATAGCGACTTTGTTTTATACTATGTATTGATAAGCTAGCATTATCAATCAGACAGCTTTAAATCAATTCACCAGACCAAATAATAAAGATTTGTAACTTCAAGACAAAAAGAGCCCTTTGATCCCTTGTTTGTCAAAATATAGACTCAAGTCATATTTGAATGAATTTCAAATAGTTTTCAAAAGGATTCTGACTAGAGGTAGCTAGCTATACTTATTATTGCTCGTCGATTCTGCTACTTGATATTTCAGAGAAGATTTAAAAAAGTATTTATTTAAAACCCATTAAAATATTTCAAAATAGTGGCATTCTTATTTACTGAGACCACGTTTATAATTATAAATGAATAGCTACTTTCGTCCGGGTTTATCCGCTCTGCTCAGCTCCTATTGATCACTGTTTGATGTGTAATATCCAACTCTAAAGTAATTATTCGAGTCGGACCAATAGTTCTGAATCGATTGGCGTGTTCAAACGGCACTACTGAACTAATAAAAAAAAAATAAGGGTTCTTACACAAAACTGCGATGCGGCGTCGCATCGCATAGCTGTGCGAGCTCCCTCTAGCCTTCGCAAGAACTTGCGAATTGCTTCGCATCGCGCATCAAAATCTTATCTTCCCAAACTCTTCTTTTTCCTGTATCTCCTAAGCAATAACAGAAGTGATGATCACTTCTTTTGATGATCCATGTCACGACCTAGTTTTCAATTTAAAATACATTTAGTACCTACGGTTGACGGTCATCGAAGCAATGGTTACCATGGGAGACGCCTTGTCGCACGAAATCGCATCGCAGCAATTCGTGTCGCAATTTTCTGCGTTGCGTATTCGCATCGCATCGTATTGCAGTTTTGTGTACGAGCCCTATGATAAGGTTTCCTCACTGCGTCTGAATAAACTTAGAAAGCACATATATACAGACGACGACACATCAAGATATGCAAAACCAGTTTATCATGGTCTTGCTTTTTATGATCTTTCTGCACATTTGACGTTCAATATATACTGGGTCTGCATTGCTTGATGAGTCACTAGATATATACTTACTCCTTACCATCGCGACAAAAGTAATAATTTATAATATTTTTCACGCTTCTCATAATAGATTTTTTTCCCACAGATCATAATTAAAGATGTTGAGTCAACCGCGATGGCTGATGTTGGTGGTGGTTGCAGCTATGCTGACGCTGCAGTCGAAGGGTGACGGTGGCATCAGGCTCCCTGATCAGCCACCCAAAGAACAAACTGAAGGACGGTCTATAAACTTCGGAGGGGATCCCGGACGATCGGTAAATATATAGAGACATCTAGTCAAAGACTGATGAGGCATAGTTACAATACAAAAATTAGGTTTTAGATCTATAGAAAATTTAAATGAAAACATTAAAAGTAAGACTTAAACTGTCAAACACCAAGCGGTCACCGGTGACCGCAACCTATTGTTCTATAATTGTGTCTATAATGATGGTACTTGACGAGTTAATGGGGAGGTTTTCTAAACTAATCACTACAGCCAATAATTTCGAATAGGATTTTGTAGCATCACCTAAGGGCAAAACCAAACATATTTTTGCTCACCATGAGTAAATAACATTCGTTTCTGGCCATTTCTAATTTTTTTTTTAATTTTCAGCCTCAAGCTCAAGGTCGTGGTCTCCTGGACTGGTTGGGTCTAGGTGAAGACCAGGACCCCTACATTCAGCAGGCCACGCAGCAGTGCATCAATGGAGACCTGGCTGACTGCTTCAAGGCTCAGGCTCTGCGGTCTTTTGACGACTTCTTTGACAAGCAGGCTTACCAGTAAGTAGATTTTATTTAGATTAACCAACTACGTCAAACTCTGTGTGATTACGGCAGACTTCAAGTAGTCTTGGAGTATTATCATCACACCAATCGATCGATTCCATGCATCGACCGCAGTCGATTCCATCGATCGACGTCAGTCAATGTTGATCGATTGGTGTGATAGCTTTAATTAATTGACGGATTCCGATAGAGATAGACTAATTAATCGATCGTTTGTCGGTCGATAGCATCAGTCAGCGTTCACCAGACGGGTGATAATAGGGAGCTTAAGCAGTTCGATCGACGTTGACTTATCCATTCTACAATCGATCGATCGTCGATCGACAATTGATCGTTTGGTCTGATAGTCTACCATCGATTGATGGCGTCGATCGAAGTATGATTTAGTTGGATTTATCAAATGCAATCAACTCAAAGAGATCTTAAAGTCTGTCCAGGTTTTTTTACCACCATACTCGTAAGATATCAAAAATTAATTCCTAACGTAATGTACAAAAAAATAGTTAAAAATCATCATCATAACATCACCCCTTTTATTGTAAGAAGGGGTAGGCAAAGGTGTACATTATGTCACTATACGATGTAACACCCACTTTTCACTATTTATGTTATGAGTCCCATGTAATAGGGGGTGAGCCTATTGCCACATACCGGGCACAATTCCAGACGACTTTTTAAAAACCCAGTAATGCTTTGCCCAACCCGGGAATCGAACCTGAGACCCCTTGCCCGGCAGTCACACTTGCGACCACTCAGCCAACAAGGCAGGCAGCAGTTTTACGATAGTAAAAAATTTCAACTGAATATTGAAACTGCGAATTTTCAATTTCATGTTTCGCTTCCACAATTCGATTGGAAGTCTGCGATACATTTTTTGTTTGATTAAATCGAAACTATTGATATTGTGTTACCGCAAACACTTTTTTTGGTTTTAATTCGTGACCAGAACGTAATAGTGATATATTCTGTATTTTTCAGAGTATAAAAAATATTCCATTGGCCTTTTATTTAACTATGAATTCAATGACAGAAGCTTTATATAGTATTTAAAGATACAAATCCGTCATTCATGAAAGAGTAACAGCCGTTGATCCATACATACATACATTCTTTAAAAATGTTCACATTTATAATATTAGTAGGAACGACTCATTAATAATATCTTACAAACCCAAGCGCTAGGATTCCACTCCATATACAATCTTCATCTAGAATTTAATATAACCCAAATAAATGGGTTTTCCCTAGCTTCTCTGCGCAATATTCTACATAATAAATAAGACTAACCCAGTAAATTAGAATACATTCCAAGTAAACGGATATAAATTTAAACTTAGAAATTTTAAATATTTTATTAAAGAAGGGTCAAATTTAAAGTACCCTAAATCGATGCATGCATGAAAAGAGTGATGACTGTTAAGGAAGAGAAAGAGGTATGTACGACATAGCGATTGACGTTCCATAGTCTCTGATAGGAGACAGGCTATGTATGTCATATATATTGAAACCATTAGAATTTTAATCTTCTGCGAAGATCAATCATTATTCTATTAAATAATCTATAGGAATCTATACTTTGGAACGAGTAAATAGCTTCAGTCCTCTAGGACTGAACGACACAGGCTAACACTTCATTTTATGTGAATTTCTCATATTGTTGTGATTGAAACAAATGTTCTATTATTTGTTTGTATAATATTCTAGTAATGGGCTAGTGCTGTAAATAAGGACCACGACTCAAGCAATCGCGCTCAAGACACGGCATTTTAGATGAGCACTGGCCTTATTGCAATGTGTTTGTACACGATTCTGTTTTGTAAAACGATTTATATCGTATTCTTTAATTTCTGTAACGGTGCAAATAAACAATTTTTCTTCCATTCTTTTTTTCATTTGACTTTGACTATATTAAAAACCAAATTAAATTATTTGCAGGTTATCAGAAAACGCAGTTCTGGTGAAGGTGGACTCGCAAGCCCGTGCCTTGTCCCGGGAGCCTCCGCAGCTGGACTCGCAGCCACGCAGTGAGGACTCGGACTGGGAGGCACTCGTCAAATACGGCATGAGGAAAATTGAAAGGTAAATAGGATATACTCGAATAGTATTCCTTTTCTTTTCTTTTTTAAATAAAACGTTGCCCCACACTAGGATTTTCTCCTGTGTCGTGGGTGCGTTTACAAACATACAAGTTCACGTACACAATAACACCCAGACCCGAAACAACAATTTGTATTACCCGAATAATTAATAATTCTTTTTATATCCGTTTAAAAACCAATTTTAAGCGAAGTCGAGACTGTTTTAGACTTCAAAGAAAAGAAGTGGTTCGAGGAGTGATTAATATTAATATACTGAAACAGTAATTATGTAATTCATTTTCTAGACCGCATCAGAATCAGTTCCATCAGTGCAGTGGCTAGATAATTGCGCTAAAACATACATATGTACATAAAGGTCAAAATGAGGACCTCCTTGCTTAAGTCGGTTGAAAACACCGATTTAGGTACTCACGTGGAATACCGAGAAAAATTCTACTATTTTCGGGTCACAGAGAGACTTTTCATCATGAGCAGCATTCTCATGCATCGCTGCGTCCATGCTTCTCAGTATTTTGCGTGAGAAAACCGGTGTATTAAATTAATGGAGTATCTATGGAACGTAATATAAAATCACCTTTCTACGATACAATTGGATGCAGAAAACATGGCTCATTATGTATTATGTTTTTTTTTTTTTTTTTTTGGCATAAGCCGGTAAACGAGCAGACGGATCACCTGATGGTAAGCAATCGGCGTCGCCCATGGACACCTGGAACACCAGAGGCGTTACAAGTGCGTCACCGGCTTTTTGGGGATTAGGAGTTTGAGGTTCGTTGGGGATTCAGGGATTGGGGAGATTGAGGAAGGGGAAGGTAATTGGGCCTCCGGTAACCTCACTCACACGACGAAACACAACGCAAGCGTTGTTTCACGTCGGTTTTCTGTGAGGCCGTGGTATCACTCCGGTCGAGCCGGCCCATTCGTGCCGAAGCATGGCTCTCCCACACTTAAGTGTGGGAGTGGGAATGTCTAGTTATTATAAAAATATTACCCGAATCCCCAAATCGTCAATTGAGTGAAACCGAGCCGAGCTGGAGTAGCCTTTTTTACGAACTCTAAACGAAGCGTGAATGAATATTCCTTTGTTCTTTTTTTAAATCGAATCATATAAAAGTTTTGATTGCACTATTCTCAAACTAGGAGTACAATTCTTACTTCGAATAGTTTCCTGGCACCGCAAAACCATTTCATTGCCAAACTGTATAAGATAATTTAGACATAACTTAATTTGCATGTTACAAGCTCCTTCATTATAGTGACGCTATTTATAAGATGGGTTGGTATTGAAGCTACATACGGATACCCATCAAGGTATACAAAACCGGAATATCGTGGTTTCGCTTTATATGATCTGTCTGCATATTCGACAGTCTGTTTATACTGGTTTTTAATTAGAGTCTTGTAAAGTTTACTTTTTGAAGGTTTATTTGTTTATTTGTTTGAACGGGCCAACATCATCAGCCATATAATCGCTTACCATCAGGCGAGATGGTGGCGAAACGTCAGCCTGTCAAGTATAAAAATCTGGTGTCCGATTTGAATAATTCTTTTTCTGTTAGATAGTAGATTTATCGAGGAAGGCTACAAATATCACGCTACGATTAATATAAGCCGATCAAGACGGATAAAAGCCCTCAGAAGTAGCTATGCCCAAATAATTTTGTTTCTCCAAGAGCGATGTCACTCAGTGATCGCTAATACATCTGCCGAGCAAGCTCTGATCTAGGCAAATCTTTCTTTTTGAGCGGAGGCATTTTTGGCAACTGTAGAGGTATTTCTTGGTATGGGACAAGCCGTTAAACGACCAGATGTATCACCTGAGGTTAAGCAATAGGCATCGATAATGGACACCTGGAACACCAGTGGCGTTACAAGTGCGTTACCAGCCTTTTGGGGATTAGGAATTTGAGAATTATTAGGGATTTAGGAATTGGGAAGATTTTAGAAGGGGGGGAGAGGTAATTGGGTCTCCGGTAACCGCACTTAAGCGTTGTTTCACGTCGGTTTTCTGTGAGGCCGTAGGTATCGCTCCGGTTGAGCCGGCCCATTCGTGCCGAACCATGGCTCTCCCACACTTGAGAATCGGTTTGAGTATCGGGCTAATGATAATACTGATGATGAGAACAACAATTTGTCCTATTAATCATACTCAACTCGTCCTTTTGTTTCCAGATTTTTAAGGTCAACAGCTCTAGAGATGCAGCTGGATGAGGAAGTGACATCTCGAGGTATTATTGCTCCTCGCTTCATTGAACAAATTGCTGATGAAGTGGATATCATTGAGGATAAAAAGGCACCTTTCCGTAAGTCATTATTGTGCTTAATTTTCTTAATTACTGAAATTAATAACTAACTAGTATAAGTTTGTTTTTAAGGTATACCTAAAAAATTTTGTTACTTTTTTAATTTGTGTACAAGTTATTCTTACCTTAACTTTAACAAGGCTTATAATTTCTAATTATAAGTTTGAATCCGTATTAAGCAAGTGTGGTGATTAATGCTTAAACCTTCTCCATGCGAGAAGAGGCCTTTGATCAATGGCCACTTGTAGGCTGTTGATGTGATGTGAACTTTAATAATCCTTGATAAATTACGTTTGAAAAAACCAACTTCAACCGCCTTTTTTGAAGAAGGTTAACCAATGTACACGCGGCCACACATCAATCTATACAAAACCAGTTTATCCTGGTGTCGCGTCGCATCATCTTTCCGCACATTTGACGTTCAGTTTATACTGGTTATGTAAAGCTCGATGTGTAGTCGTGTGCACTAAAACATATTCCTAAGTGTAACTAACACTTTTCTGAAAACCGAATCAAATTCTGTTCAAGCAACCCCGAGGTAATCGCGCACAAACACATATATACAGGTCAAAGTGAGCACCTCCTTCTTTTTTGAAGTTGGTTAATAAGTAGGTATTCCTTGCACGAGTATTTTAATAGATACTAAAATGAATTTAGTACTCAAATACCTGTCTAACAAATGGCCGAAATTTACAGTAATTTTAAACCTCTCCTGTTTAATTTAGAACCTAGATTTGATAAATACAGTACTATATTATCAGTGTTGAAACGAGAGCTATTCATTTAGAACATTATTCTTGGGTCTGAAGTATTCTCATGAGAATTAATAAATGAGTAAAGTATTAATTGTTAGATTCTCGTGAGATTCGAACCAGTTAATTTTGAAATGAACTGGTTTTAATAATTCTGCAAAAGTTAATTTGACTTTTCGATACTGCTTAATTAGAAATGTTATTTTGTATCTCGAGATGAGCAATATACACTTTTATATTATTTATTGGACTGTTGAATAATATATTAAAATAAGCTATAAACATTACGCTACGACTAATAGTAGCCGAGCAAATTTTAATGAAACTGCATTGAAAGCTTGTCATATCCTGCTGCAAAAGATTGTGACACTTTTACGAAAAACTACTACAGAGATTTGGATGAAATTTGGTACAGAGATAGATAATACTTTGGAATAACATTATGGTAATCTATCCTGGGTACGCAGATGAAGTCGCTGGCAGAAACTATGTAGATAAACATGATTATATTTGTTCTCCAGGTCAACATAAGTTGAAGAAGTTGATCATCCCTATGCTGCTGATTCTCAAGCTGTTCAAGCTGAAGCTGCTACTGTTCCTGCCCCTCATCCTCGGTCTCGCTAGCTTCAAGAAGTTCCTGGGATTCATGGCTCTTATCGTTCCTGGTACGTTCATATCAATAATTACTTAAATTATTCCGAATGATTTTGTTACAAAAACAATTGCTAAGGACTTCTCTAAGTAGCCACTAAATGGCAATAAGCACAGCAATAAGGGCCGAAACATATAACCGCGTTGCGTCGCCGCTACGCTAAAATCGGCAGTTTGCGTTTCGCAGTTGGGGCGCTGCAACGCAGCGCTCGTTCCAGCATAGCAGAGTAATGTCTTTTTAATAAACAATAAGCAATAAGTTTTTCACGATGGTCCATGGCAGAGACACGACACACAATAAAAAATCACGACGAACTGGTTACCCCTAACGAACGATATCAAAACGGTCTTTTTCACGACGCCGCAACGCAAACTGCCGATTTTAGCGTTGCGGCGACGCAACGCGGTTATATGTTTCGGCCCTTAAACGATCAAAAATAACCATCCTAAAAACTAAATATTTCAATTAAATAAAAAGTAAAAGTAACACAACTTTTATGTGTTTAAGTTTTATGTTTTACTCTTTCCTTAGACATTAATATTTGCATTGTATGACTTCCAGGTGTGATCGGTTACTTCAAGTTCTGCAAGCCCAATTCCTCGCCGTTCTCATCCAGCCACTTCTCTGGACCTCACTACAGCCCAGCTGGTATCGGGCTCGGACCGTACAGGGAAACTCCGCCCCAGTCGCATTATGCGTCTCATTATGATAGCTACCCTGTAAGTATTGTTATTAGTATGTATTATGCCTTTACCAATTACGGGACCATTGGGTGGGTCACTTGGGGGGTGTACAAGGGCCCGAAGCTAACTGCACAGAGACCCTTTAGACAACTTTGATCTAAATGCTATGGGACACAAACCGGCGACTATGCGCTATGAAAATGCATCCAAAAATAGGCCCAGGCTAGTGTAGAACTAACTCTTTTATTTCATTATGCAGATAATGGAAAAGGAGGTAGAATTGAATGGGTTGTTGGGGACCGGTGAATTGGAAACTATGGAAATAATAATTATATCATGAATCGACTACCTCGTTGGCCGAGTGGTCGCAAGTGCGACTGACTGGGCAAGGGGTTAGTCGATTCCCGGGTCGGGCAAAGTATTACTGGGCTTTAAAAAAAATCTCAGTAGTAGCACGGAGCCTTGAATTGTGCCCGGTATATGGCAATAGGCCCACCCTCTATTACATGGGACTCATAACATAAATAGTGAAAAGTGGGTGTTACATTGTACAGTGGTATAATGTGAATTGGGATGATGACTGGGTATGAAAATTAAAAATATAATTAGTCCGTAAGTTAGGTAATGAAAAAATATTAGACACGTATTTTTTATATTTTGTCGTATAATAAAACAATACTTAGATAAAAAGAAATAAAGTTTAGGAGTGGGGGCTAAAACGTCATTTCTACATATAAAATGTACATAGAAGTGACATCACGCGACATCTCAAATCAATGTATCGTCGAAAGTATTCGTTTCTGTAAATAAAATAAAAAATAGGTACGTGTCTAAAGATTTAAAAGAATCTACTAGACGGACATTAAAATAAACATTAGGCATCTACCCTATTCTATCTTCCATGATCACACATTTCAACAAATAACGTTAGTACTTACGAGAAACCCAAAAAAAAAATGTTTTATCCCTATCAGGAGTCGTTTCTATTCAAAAGTAAACTTGAATACATGACAGCTTATTAAAAGTTGAATATTATTATTATTATACCTACTTGATATCATAATTCAGAACAAATCGACCCTCCTCTTTGGGAAAAATTTAAAAGAACAAAAATTACTTTGAAACTCGGATAATACTGTCCTAAAATTTTTACAAGGGTAATTTTTACTGAATCTTTTTATATAAAACATTGCCCCGTTAAACATTTAACTTACAATATACCTACTATTATGTATGAATGTGTGTGAAGTGGAATATTGCAATTACATTTTGAAGCGAATATAACATAACATAACATCACGCCTTTTACACTGTACAATGTAAGTCAAAGTCAAAGTCAAAGCATTTATTTCAATTAAACCATAGTTTGGTACTTTTGAAACATCAACAAATACAAAATAAATAATAGTCTGTCAGTCAGTCCGTCAGTGAAATTAGGTGAAGCTAGGTGTAACACCCACTTTTCACTATTTATGTTATGAGTACCATGTAATAGGGAGTGAAGCGGATATCTTTTACTTATTTATTTAATTATATAAAGATACACCAACGACTTACTTACTATATTTGACTCATTACATTTTTCACTTGCAATCTGATGTAAATCGTGTTGTAAATGCATGTGTTGCGAGTTAAATAGGACTAGAGCAATTTTTTTTTTGGAAAACCTTTCCCTTCACTAGTATGTTGTCCTGTGTCGTGGTTGCGTTTACAAACATACATACAACTTCACATACACATGACACCCAGACCCGGAACAACAATCTGTGGATCACACAAAGAATTGTTCCGTGCGGTAATCGAACCCGCGACACGTTGCGCAGCAGCCCGTTCGCCAGCCACCGCGCCAACCGTGCAGCAGTTATTAATTGATAGCTATAATTAAGACTCAGCTAACTATTTTTAAAGCGTTTATTCACACGCTTCACCTTTCATTGTTTCAGGGCGGTCACAAATACGGATCTGGTGGTGGAATATCCTTTAGGGAACATGATGTCAGCCCCCAAGACCTGGCTTACCAAGGCTGGGAGTACAGGAATAAGCAAGGAGCTGAAGATATCAAGGCTGAACCAGCTTAAGACTGATCTTCTGATGTAAGCTTTACATTAGATAATAAGTATTTAGTCAAAGAGGTATTCGAGATTATATGATCGTTACGTCGTTTCTGTCCACAACATAGGGTTCTTCATAATATGGATACATGGTCTATTTACGACAAATCTCATCAAATTCCATTCAGTAGTTTTAGCATAAACACTAAACAAACATATTTATAAAGTTATTATCACTTAATATGGTCTAATAAGACGATGTTATTTTGGCCACAAATTATTGAAATGGAATACAATATTATTAATATATCTTATAATATATTTTAATCTTATTATAGAATCGTTTCAAAGACGTACCAATTAAAGATTTACTCGCATCTGTAATATACATCAAAAGAAATATACAATTAAGATAAGTAGACGATTGATACGAATTATGTATGGACAGACTGACATTAGGCTTTTTTGATACATTTTCAACCTTATCATTTAGCAATTAAGTTGAAAATTCAAGTTTCAATGACTGTGTGTCTAATATTATGTGGTTTCCTCATAAAAAATATTTTTTAATTTACTTCTTGGTATTTGTACGACAGTATTGGTTTTGGTCCCGCTCAGCTCTTAATGTTTAGCTTGTGGAACATAGCCATAAATTGCCTCGGGATTACCATACGGCCTATATCCGTCCAGCATACAATGCACATAAATCTTGCATAAATAATGATTATCTGTTAACAGGCTACAAGCAAAACTGGCCTTACAAGTCCCTATATTATTATAGGTGTTTTATCCTCATGTTCTTTTTGTATTTTTGACCCTTTTACAAATACTTCTTTAAAACATATGGTTTCTTAAGCCTTATCATATAGGTATACGATACAGCCTGTATAAACCACTTTATCGAGGTCTCATTTTGTATGATCTTTCCGAATATTCAACGGTCAGTTTATGGTGGTAAGTTCCCCAATCATCAAATCCCCGAAACTCCAAATCCTCAAATCTGTAACCCCTAAACGGCAACGCATTTGTAAATCCCCTGGTCCACGGGTGTCGATGGGCGGCGCCGATTGCTTACCATCAAGTGATCTGTCAGCTCGTTTGCCATCCTTAATACCATGAAAGAAACTTCGTCCCATAACTTCGGACTTCTCAAATAAATGCCATTGTCACAATTTACTTCTTTACCACCCGATACCTTGATTATTTCTTTATACCTTCTGCCCTTCCATGATTTTCTAATCCTTCCTGTCTCTACGCTTCCTCGTATTCCTTATTTATCCTTCTCTTATTATTATTCCTTCGCTACCTCGTACTCTAATCAAATCAAATTTATTCGCATATACTCCTTACCTTTCTGGATGTAACCTCTTTCTTTCGTCCTGATGTAGCTCCGATACTGACCCCCTATTTGTACAAATGGCGTCATGTGTCATCTACCTTAGTCTTGCTTTCAAGGTAGGTTGGTAAAACAGGCTTTAGAATATTAGTCAAAGATGTGCCGATATTGATAAATAGTTTTTTTAACACTTTAAATGTTTTAATATTTGCATTTAATTTATTTAAACTATCAATATTGGTGTTTATGTGTTACTAAAGCCGGGACCACACTAAAGTCAACGTCAATGCCGATTATCGCGATGTTTACTGCGATAATTTTAACGCGGTAAAGTGGGTGGCTACACTTGAAATTTCAACGTGAATACCCATCATGCGAAACGGCAATGTGAATGCTGTTGTCAAATTATCGCGTTGACTCGTGGCTACACCTACGGTGAACGTGCATTATCGCGATAAGCAATGGCATTTCTCGTTTGTGAGGCCCGGGCATATAACGCATTCACATTTGCCTGACGTGACGTGTTGTGACATTTTTTAACGTAGTTGATTGGCTACGCAACTCATGATGACTGACGTTATTATGAACAGAGTCATTAATTGATTGGTGCATCCTGCGACACAACACGTCACGTCATATAAATTAGAATGCAGCTTTATTATAATGAACTTAGTAATGAGGATATGCAGAAGTTAGTTTCAGCTATTTTCAAACATCCTTAATTTATAATATAATAATAGGGTAGTAGACAGACTATGAAATTTAAAAATGCAATTAGTCCGTCCGTCAGATAATGAAAATATATTAGACACATATTTTTTTATTTCATCGTATAAGAAAACAATACTTAGATAAAACGGAGTTAAGTTTAGGAGTGGGGGTCGTTACGTCGCGCTACCCTATAAAATGTAGTAAATCGTGACGTCACACGATATTTCAAATGTATATGTAGTCAAAAGTATGAAATTTTGTAAGCGAAAAAAATACGTGTCTAATGTTTTAAAATAATCTATCAGACGGGCATTAAAATTCAAATTTAGAATACTACCTATTACATGAGAATCAATTATATCAGTGTAATTTTATGTCAAATTATAAATAAGTGATAGTTTGTATTTATGTCTAAAAATAATAATTAATGTTTGTTTTGCACGAAAACTATTCGTGTTTTCCATGTAAATGTTATGTAATGATAGTATCTATCTTTCCATGTTTATGTCAAAATTGACATTTTAAACTTATAATAATTGTAATAATAATATTGTTAATTAATTTAATGATCATTAAATATAGATTTTAAGTGATGTAAATTATTTTTTGTTAAATGTGTGAATACAGTGTTTTTATAATATATCGTATTGTTTTTTTAATTGTTTTTGTCCTACATTATAATTATAGAGGTACATAATGCTTAGGTTGTACACAACTGTACACCTGAAAGCATAAAAACGGAACCACTAGCAATGTTTATTTTTTATTTCTTGATATTCAAATGTGGGAGAGCCATACTTCGGCACGAATGGGATACCGCGGCCTCACAGAAAATCGACACGTGAAACAACTCTTGCTTTATGTTTCGTCGTGTGAGTGAGGTTACCGGAGGCCCTATCCCCCCCTTCCCCAACCCTTGAATCCTCAACAATCCTTAAATTCCTAATTCCAAAAGGTCGGTAACGCACTTGTAACGCCTCTGGTGTTCCAGGTGTCCATGAGCGACGCCGATAGCTTACCATCAGGTGATCCGTGTACTCGTTTACCGGTTTATACCTATCATAAAAAAATCTTGATATTTTTTTTCTGATACAAAGTCAAAGTCAAAGTCAAATCATTTATTTCAATTTAACCATAGTTTGGTACTTTTGAAACGTCAACAAATACAAAATAAATAATAGTCTGTCAGTCAGTCCGTCAGTGAAGCTAGGTGAAGCTAAGTGCTCATTCCAAAACGTAGATTCGAATGGAGAAGAACGAGCAAGAAACTCCATTCGTTACTCTTTTAAAAAAGTATGTTCTACAATGTCTCTGATACATATTTCAATACTGTACGCATATGTAAGAACAATGGAAAGACACGCTTGACGCATTATACTAATAACTTACTAAAATAAAAAAATAAAAAATAATAAAGATCTTAAGTCTAACATGGTGCTCACATATGCATACTGACAATACAAGTATTTTATTCATTAGTAGCGTATGTGTTATGGAATAATTCATTGTAGAACATACTTTTTTAAAAAGCGTAACGAATGGAGTTTCTTGCTCGTTCTTCTCCATTCGAATCTACATTTTGGAAACTAGCTTCACTGACGGACTTACTGACAGACTATTATCTAATTTGTATTTAATTTTGTTGACGTTTCAAAGGTACCAAAATAATTATGGTTTAATTAAAATAAATGCTTTGACTTTGACTTCTACTTTTGTCCCACAGAATCGGTTGAACTTTACATAACTATCAGAGAACTAGCTTCTGACAGCCCGCGTTTCCGTGGGATAAAAATCCCACCCAGTGTTAATGCAGACCATAGTCTATCTCTGTTTCAAATTTCAACTCGATCCCTTCAGCTGTTTTGATGTGTTCGAGTAACAAACTTACACACAAATACACACACACACAAACTTTCCCATTCACAATATTAGTAGATAAGATAATATATAATAAACTGCCGTCTCCAGTCTAAATGAAAAGAATTAAATAATAAATGAAGCTCCCACTCTAACATCTCATTTACATCATAAACGAAATCCCTTGGTTTAATAAAACACCATTTGTTTTCGTTGAATTCACAGAAATGACGTCACGAATCATAATTTCAATTAATATTGTATAAACACGCATAATTAGATGTTCGTTAAGTTTGTTCAAAGGTTCGAATGAGATATATGTATAATAATAAATAAATGTAATAATAATAAATGTATAATAATATTTAGTATGAATGAGCTAGTTACTTCCACGCGTTTTCACCTGATCTGCTCGGCTTCTATTGATTGTAGCGTGATGTTTCATAGCCTATAGTCTTCCTCGATAAATGGACTCATCATCATTATCAACCTATAAATGCCCACTGCTGAGCAAAGCCTGTTCTCACACGGAGAAGGTTTGAGCATTAATCACCACGCTTGCTCAATGCAGGTTGGTGATTACAAACTTGTAATTAGAATTATAAGCCCAGGTTTCCTCACGACGTTTTCCTTCACTATTTGTCAGTGGTGTCTAAATAATCTTAGAAAGTACATATAACTCGGAAAAAGTCACATTGGTACATGCTGTTGGTAGGTTTCGCACCCGCACCCTCATGCATAAGAACCGGGCTTAAACCTCCGGGCCACCACGACCATTATATACGATAAATGGACTATACGACACAAAATGAATCTTTCAAATCGGCCCAGTAGTTCCTTAGATTAGCGCGTTCAAACAAACAAGCAAACAGACAGACAGAGTAGATACAAGTATAAGAGTATGAGGTACAAGTACCTATATAATTTAAGTGTGGGAGAGCTATGCCTCGATACGAATGGGCCGGTTCGACCGGAGTGATGCCACGGCCCCACAGAAAACCAGCGTAAAACAACGCTTGCGTTATGCATCGTGGTGTGAATGAGATTACCGGAGGCCCGATTATCCCCCCCCCCACTCCCCAATCCCTGAATCCTCAATAATTCTTAAATTCCTAATGGCCGGTAAAGTACTTGTAACGCCTCTGATGTTCTGGGTGTCCGGTGATCCGTCAGCTCGTTTACTGGCTTATCCCATAAACCAAAGGGCTCGCTGCCTTTGCAGCGGTAAGTCCCCTCATTGAGGATTGGCCTGAGAGACGCTACGGCGTCCTCACCTACCGCCTGAGGCAGATCCTCACCGGACATGGAAGCTTCTGGAGGTACCTGTGTCTGAAAGGCCGGGAGGAAACGCCCGGGTGTCATAACTGCGAAGACATGCTCTGCGTGGGTTGAGCACCGCCGTGCCCTCAGGGATGTGATTGGCAACGGCAACCCCTCGCGTCCGGCCCTAGTCCGGGCCATGATGCGCAGCGAAGAGGACTGGGATGCCGCCGTGCTTAGAGTGGTTTTTAGTCAATAAGAGTATGACACTCCCTCCCACCTCACCCAGGTGGGAGAAGCCATTCGATGATTTTCCCCCCTTAAAAAAAATATCCATAAACCAAAAAAAAATACAAAGGATAATTATGCTCTTCTAGAAATCGTAGGTGAAAAGTACTCAACGTTTTATTTTCTACATAAATACATACATAACCTCATGCCCGTCTCCCATGGGTAGAACCAACTAATTAAGTTTAATTTCTTTGAATCAAAATAGTGCTATAACATCACTTTGTTTGTTAAACACAGGTTAATTAGAATTATAAGGGCCTTTTTCACAATATCTGGATAGCCGCTATCTACCAGATAAATTTGAATTAAGAACGTAATTTGTATGAGCTATCTGTCACATAAGTTTATCAGGTACTTATATGGAGTTGGTGAAACCGGCGAAATAATTGCATACTTTTTCGGCGTCAGTATTCTTTTTTATTTTAAAGAGAGGAAATCTTCAAACGACTCCTCCCGCCCTGGGTAAGGTAAGAGGGAGTGTCAAATTCTAACTGAATAATATTTTTCCACATACTACGTTTAGAAACCAACTTCACCCTCCTTTTTACTACCCGATAGTTTTTTAAATCACTCAATACCTATACCTACTAAAACCTTCAAGTGTAACAAACTTTTTGGAAAACCGCATCGAAATCGGTTTAGTTAATCCCGACATAAATGAAATGAAATGACGAAATGATATTACATTGTAACACTATTATGGGTTACAAAGCAACATTGTTAAATGTTAATATTTAAATAACTAGATGCGGGCCGGCACTTCCTAACTATAGTTGGTTAGAGGCTAAGAAGAAACGCCGAAACAAACTCACACTCATGCATATGTATGCATGGTATATAATTATGTATATAACCTCCTTTATATTTTAAAGTCGCTTAAAAACCACTCCTACTTGCCGCGGAGAACCTAACGGGTTACCGGGGCTCCGGCTCGAAGTGCATGAGTAGAAACAGGGTGGTTTTTAGTCAGTAAGAGTCTGACACTCCCTCCCGCCTCACCCAGGCGGGTGAAGTCATTCCATGATTTTCCTCACTTAAAAAAGAACCCACTACTACTTCAGGCACGCGAAACGCGACGCTCCGTGACTTGAAGTCCAGAGTTCAACATAAGCCTTGTCAGTGACTTCTAACAAGGCCTATCAGGCTCATCAGTGGATTGGAAACAACTAAGCCCTTTCTATGCACACTGAGCGACATTGAGTTGCCAAATCCTTTTTTTTTTATTTTTTTTTAAGGGGGGAAAATCATCGAATGACTGCTCCCACCTGGGTGAGGCGGGAGGGAGTGTCAGACTCTTACTGACTAAAACCCACCCCGTTCCTTCTCCTGCACGTCGAGCCGGAGCCCCGGTTACCCGTTAGGTTCTCCGCAACTCCGAATCGGCATCGACCGTATTGGGCCCCATCTGTGGTGGTCTGATGGCTCTTTGACGCGCCGTACGCTCGGGTCTGTTTCTGGTCGGACGGGGAGCCACCCATGCTCGCCGTCCGCAGGCCCGCGCTTACGGTGGCCGGAGATCGTCCCGCGATCCCCGACGCCCGGTGTGTCCTTCGCGATGGCTGGGTTGCGAGGAGGCAGCGCTTCGCTGCCTCACGCGTCCCGCCTCCTCCTTAGCTAGCATGACTGCTTCGCAAAATGAGGAGACGGCATCCCAGTCCCCCTCG